AAAAATAAAATTATACGAGCTGGGTTACATGACTCAATGCCCGTAAACCCCAGCAACTTTGAAGGCCGAGCAGGGAGGATCACCTGAGGGTCAGCGAGTTAGAGACCAGCCTGGCCAACCATGGTGAAACCATTCCTACTAAAATACCAAAAAAATTAGCCGCGCACCCCAGGAATGCCCATGCTGGTACCTCGCCTACGTTGGAGCGCCTGAGGTAGCGAGAATTGGCTTGAACCTGCGAAGGCAGAGGTTGCAGTGAGCCAGAATCACACCATCTTGCACTCAACCTGGGCAACAAGAGCAAACTCGATTTAGAGACAAAAAAAATATATATACCTACTATAGTGTATATACACAACACCACACATCACGTATATATACTACCAATATATATGCCATAATTCCTAATATACCACACCACATATATATACCCTAGATCTCCAATACAGTCACATGGAGAGTTAGGGCTTAACATAGGAATTGTGGGTGGACACATTCAGTTCACAGCGGTATTCTCTCTCTCTCTCTCTATATATATATATGTGTGTGTATATAGGTATATATGCATATATATGTGTGTATATATATACGTGTGTGTGTGTGTATATATACATATATATATATATTTTTTTTTTCTCTAAATCGAGTTTTGCTCTTGTTGCCCAGGTTGGAGTGCAATGGTGTGATCTTGGCTCACTGCAACCTCTGCCTCCCAGGTTCAAGCAATTCTCCTACCTCAGCCTCCCAAGTGCCCGGCTAATTTTTTGTATTTTTAGTAGAGATGGGGTTTCACCATGTTGGCCAGGCTGGTCTCTAACTCCTGACCTCAGGTGATCCTCCTGCCTCGGCCTTCCAAAGTGCTGGGATTACGGGCTTGAGTCATTGTACCCAGCTCTATAATTTTTATTTTTCTTTTCTTTCTTTTTTTTTTTTTTTTTTGGCCAAGTCTTGCTATGTTGCCCAGGCTGGAGTGCAGTGGTGTGATCTTGGCTCACTGCAACCTCCGCCTCCCAAGTTCAAGCGATTCTCCTGCCTCAGCCTTCCAAGTAGATGGGACTACAGGTGCATGCCACCATGCCCAGCTAATTCTTGTAATTTTAGTAGAGACAGGGTTTCACCATATTGGTCAGGATGGTCTCAAACTCCTGACCTCAGGTGATCCACCTGCCTCAGCCTCCCAAAGTGCTGGGATTACAGGCGTAAGCTACTGCGCCTGGCCTCAGCTCTGTAATTTTTCTTTTAATGTCTGTGGGATCTGTACTGATGTCCTCTCTTTCATTCCTGATATTGGCAATTTGTCTTCTCTGTTTCTTGACCAGTATGGCTAGAAGTTTATCAATTTTGTTGATTTTTTCAAAGAACCAACTTTTGGTTTAATTTATTTTTCTTTTTCTTTCTTTCTGTTTCTTTTTTTTTTTTTGACAGTCTCACTCTGTCTCCCAGGCTGGAGTGCAGTGGTGTGATCTTGGCTCACCGCAACCTCCATCTCCCAGGCTCAAGCAATTCTCCTGCCTCAGCCTCCAGAGTAGCTGGGATTATAGGCATGAGCCACCAAGCCCTGCCAATTCTTCTTTTTTTGTGTGTTTTATGTCTTATAGACTTATTTTTATTATTTCCATCCTTCTGCTCAATTTGGGTTTATCTTCTCTTCTAGTTACTTGTTAGAAGCTTAGATTACTTATTTTAGACCTTTTATTTTCTCAAATATAAGCACTTAATGCTATCAGTTTCCATCAAAGTACTGGTTAGCTGCATCCCACAAAGTCTGATATGTTTGTATTTTCATTTTTGTTTAGTTCAAAATATTTTTAAACTTCTTTGTGACTGCCTCTTTGATCCATGCTTATTTAAAAGTGGGTTGCTTTCCAAATATTTGGAAAATTTCTGGATATCTTCATAGTTTAATTCCATTATGTCAAATAACATACTTCGTACGATTTCTGTTTTTTTAAAAAAAAAAAAAATGTTAAGGATAGCTTTAAGTCCCAGAAATATGGTCTACTTGGTGAATGTTACATGTGCAAAAACCAGATACTCTTCTGTTGTTGAATGGAGTGTTTTATAAATTTCCATCAATTCAAGTCTGTTGTTGTTGGATATCCTTACTGATTTTATTTACTTGTTCTATTGATTACTGAGATAGAAATGTTAATGTCTGCCATGAATTGTCCTTTTTGGTTTTATTAGTTTTTGCTTCATGTGTTTTGAAGCTCCGTTGCTAGGTACGTTTACCTTTAGGATTGTCAGATCTCCTTGGAAAATCGATGCCTTTACTATTATAGAACACACCTTTTTGTTTCTGGTGATATTCCTTGTTCTGAAGTCTCCTTTGTCTGGGACTCATGCAGTTGCTTCATTTGATTAATGTTTGCATGGTGTATCTTTTTCTATCCATTTACTTTATCTACCTAAGTCTTTATAGTCAAAGTGGATCCATGACACATTTTTGACATTTTTATGGCACTTTCCCACCAGGTGGATATTGTGTGAGTCTGCCTCCTCTTCCAGGCTGCACTCACTTCAGGTCAGGTGAGGGCTCCTTAACTTCCTCCCCAAGGCTTTTGTCCCAGAGCCTGGCATGGGATGGTTACTGCACACAGGTCTGCAGGACATTTGTGAGGGCTCAGCTGCACCCAATGCAAAGAAAATCAAGATTCCCAGAAAAGAAGGGTGATTCCCTCTCTAAGACAGGTGACAGGCGAGCTGACCAGCCTGGGCACAGATACTGGACTGCTCCTCAGGGGCCCCGCTGGGAGGCACATGCCTGTGTCCAGCACTGTTGGTGGCAGCTGGTGGGTGTAGTCAACTGGACTCAGGGTGCTGTGAGCTAGTGACCTAAGTGGAATCCCAGGACTATAGAGTGGAGTAGAATTTTACATAGAAAAGAGGAAGCCTGTTGTCCTAAAGCACAAGGCTATCAAGGGCAGAGATGAGAAGAGCAAGACCTGCTACAAACACCACAGGGAGATCACACCACAGAGAGGAGATGATACTGCTGCCCTGCATGTGCTCTCAGGGATGATGGGATCATGTGGCCCCGTGTGTCCTCTCTGGGTGACAGGAACATGGGACCTGAGTACCCTCTTGGGGGTGACAGAAACATGGGACCCCACATACCTTCTCAGGGTGACAGGAACATGGGACCCCACATACCTTCTCAGGATGATGTGAACATAGAACCCCACATACCCTCTCAGGGGTGACAGGAACGTGGGACCCCACGTACCTTCTCGGGGTGATGAGAACACGGGACCCGTGTACTCTCTTGGGGGTGACAGGAATGCGGGACCCCACATACCTTCTCGGGGTGATGGGAACACAGGACCCACGTACCTTCTTGGGGGTGACGTGAACATAGAACCCCACATACCCTCTTGGGGGTGACAGGAATGCGGGACCCCACATACCTTCTTGGGGTGATGGGAACACAGGACCCACGTACCTTCTTGGGGGTGATGGGAACACGGGACCTGCGTGATGAGTGTTTGGAGGCTGCAGGCTGCCCAGGCCTTGGCCGCGCCCCGCCCGTGCGTGGCTTCCTCGATGGCTTCCTCCTCAGGACGTCTCCCGCCATGGCGCCCTGAGCCAGGCTCCAGAGCAGGCCGCTTCTCTGGGGGAGGCCGGGACCCTCCTGCCACCGAAGGGAGGCCCAGGCGTGACCCAGCCCCGGTGCGTTCTCAGTGCGGGGTGCTGGAGAGCAGAAGTCCCGGGCCAGGGGGTCCCACGAGGAGGAGGGGGTGGGGGCCTCGCGGGGTCGCGGGTGTGGGGCTCCTGGACCGCGCTGAGGGGCCCGGGGCGTCGCGGCGGGACCAGGGCGCATGTGGCGCTTTCCGGTGACCGGGTGCCCGGTGTTTTCCAGGCCGAGGACGATGATCCCGCCGGGGGAGTGCACGTACGCGGGCCGGAAGCGGAGGAGGCCCCTGCAGAAACAGTAAGTATCCCGCCTTCTGCTTGTGTGGGTTATTTTACCCATGGGAGGATTGGGGTTTGCATTGAAAACGGAGTTTTAGGAACAGGGGGAACCAGGAAGGCTTCGGGAGCCTGGCGGGCCGGGGCTGCGCTCTGGCGGGGGAGGAAAGCGCGGGCGGCGCCGGCGTCCTCACCCCGCAGCCTGCCGGTGCCCGGAGCCCCCAGCGAGGCTGGTCCCTGCGCCCTCGGGGCCCTGAGCGGTGGAGCCAGGCGGCGGGCACCCTGAGGGGCTGAGGCCAAGGACGCGGGCGGAGCTCCGGGCGGCGGAGGCGGAGGCGGAGGCGGAGGCGGCGGGCCCATGGCAGCTTCCCAGGCTCCGCAGGCGAGACCGCCACCCGCTGGGACGGAGGGGGTGGCACAGCTGGGTGTGTGCGTGTGTTGTGGCTCTGTGAGGCTGTGTGTGTGCGGGGTGTGTGTGGGGGCTGTGGGGGGGTGTGTGTGAGCCTGTGGGGGGCTATGTGGGGGGGCTATGTGTGTGTGGGGTGTGTGTGTGACTGTGCGGGTGTGCAAGGCTGTGTGAGACTGTGTGCCAGTGTATGGGGGCTATAGGGAGCTGTGTGGGGGGGGTGTGGGGGGTATGTGTGAGACTGTGTGCGGGTGTGCAGGTGTGCAAGGCTGTGAGACTGTGTGTGCAGGTGTGTGTGGAGGGCTGTGGGAAGCTGTGTGTGTAGGGTGTGTGTGTGAGGCTGTGGGGGGCTGTGTGTGGGGTGTATGTGTGTGAGGCTGTGTGTGGGGTGTGTGAGGCTGTGGGAGGCTGTGTGTGGGGTGTATGTGTGTGAGGCTGTGTGTAGGGGGGCTGTGTGTGTGTGTGGGAGGTGTGAGGCTATGTGTGTGCGGGGGGGAGGGGGTGCTGTGTGTGTGCCGGATGATGTCCCTGGCTGTGTGTGGGGATGTGTGTGTGGGGGTGTGTGTGGGGGGGTGTGTGTGTCGGATGATATCCCTGGCTGCAGGGGCTGTAGGATTCTGTGCAGATTCACAGCAACACCGCCCTCACCACCCTGATACCTGCTGTGATGCTGAGGTTAGGCCCCTGGGTGCCTGGATATGTCAAATGCTGGGCCTTAGTGTGCGGCCATGGTGCCTCCAAGCACTGCAGGGCCCAAGGAGGATCTGGGGCTGGGAAACGGGGAGGTAAAGCCTCCCTTGGGAAGGAAGGATCTTATTTACTGTGTACATCTTGTTTAGGTGTCTTGTTACGGTAAACAATAAAGAGAGCCCTTGTCCCACAGGGAGACCTTACCTTGTCCCTTAAGGCTGCAGTTTGCGGCCAAGGCCTCGCACTCTGTGCATCGAACACCGGCATGCAGTAGGCTCAGTGCCCAGGCTAACGCTGGCCCAGCAGTGAGCACATGCGCAAAACCATGCATGGGGCCAGGCACTCAGCTGAGGCCGGGACCAAGGGCTGCAGAAGAAACACAGCACAGCCCTGCACTGATTGCAAACAAGCTCTAGGGTGGACGGCAGTAGATACGGATGCTGCAATTCATATATAAAGGGAGGAAACATAAATACTGTGCGTGCATATTTGCTAGTTTATTCATGAAATGTCTCCCGACGGAGTCACAGAAAACTTAAAATCAGCTGTCTCTAGGCAGGGTGCCAGCCTGAAGACACTTTCCTCTGAGTTTTGAAATAGGTGAGCACACTAGCCATTCAAAACACCAATACATAAAATGCAAAGGCCTAAAAACTCCTTTCTCAGGCCTTTGCAGTGGAATAAAAACACAAAGTAGGAAATTTAGTTGTGATTCTTCCCTAGACTGCCCTACCATGGGGCCTGCATTTGTGGCTGTGTGGCAAAGCTATTTCCTCTCCTTATTTAATGTGACAAATACATCTGCTACCCAAATCTCTCAAGTGCACAGGCTCAGGAGCACATCCCATCGCCCACCCCGAGGGACACAGCTATGGAAGCGTCTCACCCCTTCCGGCTCCCTATGTACACCCCGCTTCATCCTCCTTGGCCCCCAGGGATGGCCGCCCTTCCCCTGCAGACCTCAGCCTCACCCTGTAAAAAGTTCAGTCTTCCTTGGTTGCTACAAGAACCCACTGCACATGCAGCGTCAGCCAGGATGCTTCCACATCCCCCCGCGGGACTTGGGGACCTGGGTGAATGATGAACACGTGGAACTCACGTGGCTTGCTGTGCCGTGAGTTGTAAGCCCTTTGTCTCTGCCTCCGGGGTCTCATGTCTTCTTCCAGGGTCCACAAAACAGAAACGAGTTGTTAGCTTGCAGGAGGTAAAATCAAATCCCCCACACTCACATACTGGGAGGATGAAAACCTAGATGTGGAATTGCTCAGCTAAAACACGGGCATTTGTAATTTCAATAGTTGTTCCCAAACCTCCCAGCATAAGAGGTTAGGGTTAGAGTTCCTCGTCAGTGCCTCCTCCCCATGCCCCAGCACTTAGTGTATTTCAGATACTGGTGATTTTAATTTGCATTCTTGTATCGTAAGTGAGGTTTAAGAGTGACTTGCATCTCCTTTTCTGTGAACCGTGTTTACATCTTTTGCTCATTTTTCTAGTAGATTGTTTATGTTTTGTGCCTCTTGATTTGTAAGAGCTTGCAAACTAAGGAAATTAATTTTTGAATGGGTTTCAAATATTTTACCCCAGTTTTGATTTTACATATAGTGTTCTTTGCCATGCAGAAAAAAAATGAATTTGTATGAAGTTGAATTTGTCAATCTTTACTTTTTTTTTTGAGAAGGAGTCTTGCTCTGTCGCCCAGGCTGGAGTGCAGTGGTGCTATCTCGGCTCACTGCAAGCTCCGCCTCCCGGATTCACGCCATTCTCCTGCCTCAGCCTCCCGAGTAGCTGTGACTATAGGCGCCAGCCGCCACGCATGGCTAATTTTTTGTATTTTTAGTAGAGATGGAGTTTCACCGTTAGCCAGGATGGACTTGATCTCCTGACCTCGTGATCCGCCTTCCTCGGCCTCCCAAAGTGCTGGGATTACAGGTGTGAGCCACCGCGCCTGGCCTCAGTCTTTACTTTTGTGGCTAATTTTACATCACGATTAGGAAGATCTCCACTACTTCAAGTTTATAGGAGAATATTCCCATTAGTTCTTCGAATACATTCCTTAAAATATATGTATTTATGTTTAAAACTTTTCAGCATTTGGGGAAGAAAGAGGAAAAAAGAGGGAAAAAAGAAAACCAGTTGTAATTTGAGGGGCAATGAAAGACAATGAATGACTTGAACAGTCATGAAATGTTTTCCAACTCAGACACACACCCACTGCACGCACACACTAGGTAAGGTGATGGAGGCTGGCATGTCCAAGCATGGGCATCTCTGAAGGCTGCTGTGTCTTTCTCCATGGAGGGGCTGCTGGGCATGTGCAAGGGTCCTGGGAACCCCTCTAGGGACCTGTTCTGGGAAACTGGAGGCCAAAACACTGTTTTGATGTTGAGTCTGGGCGCCCATCCTGCACCCCCTGCTGGGGTGGGGGCCCCCTCCACTCTGGCCATCCCAGTTGTGGCCCCTGATGCATCTGAGGTCCGTGTCCAGCGCTGTGGTCTGACTGGCTCCTCTGCGGTGGTGGGGGATAGGTCTGTGTGTGCCCCAAATTTTGTTTGGAAGGGGTGGCTGGTAAAGGCCGTGGAGCATGCCATCGGAGGTGGAGTTGGTCTAGAACCTGCTCCTGAGAGGCCCCCGCAGGCACTGAGTGAAGGGGGCAGCTGGTGTGGGGAAGCTGAGCAGCCGGCTGAGACAGCCCTCCCCTTGGCGTTGCCCTTGACTCCCCCCCAGCCTTGGTATCCTGTGGGTGACGTGGGTGATCCTGGATTCACAGCGCTCTCCCAGGAGTGAATGCCCTGTGCCACCAGAAGCCTGTTTGATGCTCCTTGTCTTTTGGGATTCCCCGGAGTCCTCAGCAGGGACAGTGCCTTCAGCTCACGACACACTAGAACCCACAGGGATTCCTTTTTTTTTTTTTTTCTGCGTTTTGATGTTTATTGGGTATAATTGAAGTACACATATTTCAGCTGACCTGCACGTTTAAGGTGTGCAGTTGGGTCCGTTTTGACATCTGTGTACATCCGTGAAGTCATCACCAAAATCGAGAGGAAGGGTTTCCATCTCTCCAGGAGCTTCTTTGTGGCCCCTCGTAATTCCTCCCCATAGCTCTTCCCCAGGCAACCTCTGATCTGTTTCCGGTCGCTGTAGATGGTTTGCTTGTCCTAGCATTTTGTGCAAATGAAATCACACAGCTTTTTGTCTGTCTGCGTGCACTTGGCATAAAGGTTCTGAGATTCATCCATGTTTCTAGCACCAGCCATTTGTTCTTTTTTATTGCTGCGAAGTGTTCTGTTGTATGGATAGACCAAATCTGTTCATTTACCTGCGGATGGAAGTTCAGGTTGTTCTCCGTTTTGGACTATTACAAATAAAGCTACCATGAACATTTTTGTATAAGTCCGTATGTTTTTATTTCTCTTGGATAAATACCTAGGAGTGCAGTTGCTGTGTGACACAGCAGGTGCGTGTTTAACTGTTTCCAAAGCAGTGGTGTCATTTCCCATTCCCAGAAACTGTGTGTGAGAATCCCAGTTTCTCTGCACCCCCACCAGTGCGTGGTGTGCTCAACCTTCTTGGTTTTGACCGTCCTCATGGGTTGGTGGTATCTCATCAGGGTTTTAATGTGCATTTCCCTAGTGACTAATGGTGTTGAGGGTATCTTTATGTGCTTCTTCGCCATCCATGTATCTTGTCTGGTGGTGTCTGCTTACATAATTGCCCGTGTTCTTATTGGCTTCTTTGTTTTCTTATTATTGAGTTGTAAGAGTTCTTCACATATTCTGGATATAAACCCTTGTTGTGAATATTCCAATCTAAGGCTTATCTTTTCAATTTTCTTAATATTGACTTTCAAAAGACATTTGAAAACCTTTTGAGGAAGACTAACTTGTGAGCTTTTTGTCATTTTGTGTTCTAAGAGTCCTGTGACTACCCCCAAAGTCTGAAGGATTTTTTCACATTTTCTTGTAAAATTTTACAGTAGTTTAAACCACTGTGAAGTCTAGACTCCTTTTCTGAGTTAATTTTTGGGTATGACATGAAGGTAGAGCTGGTGTCCATTTGTTTTCTTGGATATACCATTGATCCAGCACCATTTATTGAAGAGATTTTCCTTTCCCTATTGAATTGCCTTGGTATCTTTGTGAAGTAAATTGTCCAGTGAAGACCCAAAGAAGACCCAAAGAAGTCTATTTCTAGACTCACACCATTCTTTTCTATTCATTTATATTTCTATGTTTTCTCTAATAACCACATCATCTTTAATACTGTGGCTTTAGAGAGGGCTTAAACTCAGTAGGGTAGTACCCAGCTGTGCCCTTCTCTTTAATTGGCTATTGTGGGTCCTTTGCATTTCCATGTCAATTGTAGGATCAGCTTGTCAATTTCTGTAGAAACTCCTGTTGGGATTTTAATGTGATTACATTGAACGTATAGATCAGTTTGGGAAGAACTGCCATCTTAACAATATTGAATCATCCAATCAAAGAACATGTTATATCTTTCTGCGCATTTAGATCTTTACATTTTTCTCAGCTGTGGTTTGAGTGTCTTTTGTTAGGTTTGTTCACAGGCATTGCATATTTCGGGGCCTCTCTTTCCGCCTGAGCGGGCTTGGGGCTCCTCCGACACCTGTTTCTGTGCCGGCGGGCATTGGTGGATCCTCCTGCAGGTCTCCTCTGCTCTGGAGTGAACTGGAGTGAACTGGAGTGAACTGGAGCTTCTCCTGCATGCCCTCAGCACTTCGAGGCTTCTCGTATCCTGTCGTGCTCTGCATCCTCCTGGCTGTCCTCTCCCCACTGCCACTGGCCATCTCTCCCATCTCTCTGGTGCCCCCATTCTGTGGCCTCCCCCAGCCGCTGTCTGCCTACTAGGGGCTCCCCTTGTTTTCTGGGGAGGCCTTGGGTGTCCTTCACTGACAGGTGGGCCCCTCCAGCCAGGGGATGCCACTGCACACGATTGCAGGTCCAGGTCATCCCCAATTCTTCTGCCTATTTACATCTTGGCTGGCAGCTTGAGTAATTTTTGGGGGGTGTGACATTAAAAAAAAAAAAAAAAAGAAAGCAAACCAGAAAGAGGAGAGGTAAAACACAGAATGGGAGACAATAAATACAAATCATATACTCAGTAAGGGCCTGGTATCCAGAGTATTTAAAGAATCCTTACAACTCAAAAACAAAAAGATAAACAACCCAATTTAAAACTGGGCAAAAGACTTGAATAGCCATTTCTCCAAAGAAGATGTAAAAATGGACAACAGGCATTTGAAAAGATGCTCAACATCGTAAGTCATTAGAGAAATGCAAATCCACACCCACCAGAATGGCTGTAATCAAAGAAACAGAATATAACAAGTGTAGGTGAGGATGTGGAGAAACTGGAGGCCCGCTACATTGCTGGTGGAAAGTAAAATAGTGCAGCCACCATGGAAAGCAGTTTGGTGGTTCCCCAGAAAATGAAACAGAATTAACATATGACCCAGCAACTCTACTGCTCAGTATATGCTCAAGAGAATTGAATATATATATTCAAACAGAATCTTCTAGATGAGTGTTCACTGCACCGATATTCACAACAGCCAAACAGGAGACGACGCAAACGTCCATTAGCGGGTAGACGGATAAAGCAACGTGGCCTATCCATACACGGGAATATTACTCAGCCCTGAAGAGGAAGGAAGCACAGACAGCTGCAGCAATGTGGATGAACCTTGAAAACATTAGGCTGTGAGAAAGAAGCTGGCCACAGAAGGCCATGTCTTGATTCCATTTCTACCACATGCCTTTAGTAGGAAGGTCCACGCTGAGAGCTGACTGGGGGCTGCCAGGACTAACAGAAGGGGAATTAGAGAGACTGCTGATGGGTAAAGGGCTCTTTCAGGGCTGGAACTAAATAGAGGTGAGGTTTGCACGGCTTAGTGGCTGCCCTAAGTGACATTGAACTGTTCACTTTTAAACAGTTACTTTCATGTTATGTGGATTATATCTCAACTGAAAACAATAGCTCTGGGTTTGGCGCTGTCAGGCTGCTCTGTGACTGGTTTACAGCCTAGGTCGTTAGACAATGAGAAATGGAGTTTGTGCCGTGGAGTTCCTGACAGACCAGATTGTTTCAGACCTACAACTTGCATGTGTCAGCTCACTCATAAGTGCAAACACCTTGGAAAAATAAGGAACTCCTCGACAAAAGAGACCCAAACCCCTGGAAACAGCAGGCTCACTCCTGTATGTGCCAAGGTCCCAGGAAGGGTTAGTGTGGAAAGTCAGGTGGCCACATTCCTGTGGTCCTGCTGGTACCTGGCCCCTGCTCAGTCTCCCCACGTGGTCCCAGTGGACTCCACACTGTGCCATGCTTTCTTTCAGATGATTGCATGTGGGCATGATGTCTAGAACGAGATGTCAGTTGAAGTGGCTTCTGTGCAGTGATGGTTAAATGGGTCAGCCATAGGGGACGGTCACTGTGAGGTTAAATGGGTCAGCCGTAGGGGACGGTCACTCTGAGGTTAAATGGGTCAGCCGTAGGGGACGGTCACTGTGAGGTTAAATGGGTCAGCCGTAGGGGACGGTCACTCTGAGGTTAAATGGGTCAGCCGTAGGGGACGGTCACTCTGAGGTTAAATGGGTCAGCCGTAGGGGACGGTCACTCTGAGGTTAAATGGGTCAGCTGTAGAGGACGGTCCCTCTGAGGTGAGAGGGTCACATCAAGCTCCTGTCATTTTAAGGTAGGTTGGGTGAGTTGGGTCAGCTCCCTCCCTCTCTGGGCTCTGTGGTGTGCAAGTCCCACAGGGTGGTCCCTTTTTGTGGGTAGAGCAGGCTGCCATGGCTTATTAGGAGAATTGGGTAATGGCCCTCACTGCCCCTTTGTGGGGCCCCAGAGGGGCAGGCACCCGGTCTCATTTGCCCTGGGGGGTCCCTGAATATTCTCCCCTCAGCCCCAACATGTACAAGAGAAACCAAAGCTTGGAGTGGCCTTGGGCACCTCGAAGTGCAGGCCTGGCAGCTGCACGCCCCGGCTGATGCCAGGAGGACCTTTTCATGTTTTCTGGAATGTGTTAGGTTTTGTTTAGACACCGAGCCAGCCTGGGGCCAAGCGTCCTCCTCCCTCCTTAGGGATCCGTAGTGGAGAGGTGGAGAAATGTGCCTGTCCCACAGCCAGGGGTCGTGCCCTGTCTCTGTGCTCTGAGCGGCGGTTCTCGGGCTGGTTTGCTCCTTCTCTCTGCGTCCCCTCCAGACACCGAGCTGTGCTTGGCTGCCGTGCGCCGTGTTTAGTGTCTACGTCTTGAGGCACGGGTGAGCTTTAGTCCTCTTCCCCTCCAGACACCGAGCTGTGCTTGGCTGCCGTGCGCCGTGTTTAGTGTCTACGTCTTGAGGCATGAGTGAGCTTTAGTCCTCTTCCCGCCTTTTGTCCTGGCAGCAGCTTAGATGCTCCTAGTAAGGTCACTGCAGAGGATGGTTTCTGCCCCAAGGGGCATGTGGCTTCTGGTGGAGAAGCCCACCTGACCCAGACCATCTCCCCACAGGAGGCCCGCCGTGGGGGCAGAGAAGTCCAACCCCTCCAAGCGGCACCGGGACCGCCTCAACGCCGAGTTGGACCACCTGGCCAGCCTGCTGCCGTTCCCACCTGACATCATCTCCAAGCTGGACAAGCTTTCTGTCCTGCGTCTCAGTGTCAGTTACCTCCGGGTGAAGAGCTTCTTCCAAGGTAGGACTCTCACCTGCGCCCACCCGTTCACTTGAGTCGGGTTGTGTCTCCCCTGAGTCCACCTGGGGCCCGTGTGGCCAGGTGAAATGTGTCTGCTGGGTTGCACCATGTGCACGCCCTTCTTCCCCCACGCTACCCCCGGACTTACCTGGAGACTTGGTCCCTGGCTGGGCTGTGGATTTTCCCTGGTGCCAGGTCTGGCCCTAGCTGTCCTCGACACTCTCAGGGTGCCGCAGTTTGCTGGGATGGGCCAGTTTGCTCCTCGGGCCCTCGGTTTGCTGAAGCTGCGCAGCTCCTGTGGGAGGGGCTGGGGCTGTTCCTCCCCATGCTGGGCCTCACTGGTGCTTCCCCACAGACCCCAGCTCCAGGGAATGGGGGGTAGGCGTCGTGAATGAGCAGGGCTGGGCATGGTCAGGAGACTGAGGCAGCTGACTAGGTGGGACCTGGAGGCTGCCCTGGGGTGCCGGGTACCTCCCCCCGCCCATGCCAGGCCCTGCCCAGACACAGCTGCTGGGGCTGCCCTCTCATGGGGAGGGGCTTCCAGGGCTCCTGCATCTCGGGTGAGGCCTCCCCAGGCCTGTGCCCCGTCTGTCCTTGGAAGCGTGGCATTTCCTTAGATTTCCAGTTGTTGCTGCCCTGGGAGCTGGGATCTCCCCAGAGAACTCGCAGGTGTAGACTGTGGGGCCTTTGGCATTGCGGGAGGGTGGGAGAGAAGCTGCTTCCATCTTCTGTATTGGGTGACGTGCCTGCACGTGGTTTGATTGCAGCACTTTTAGAATTGAAAACCCTGTGACCAGCAGCGTGTGGCAGTTGTGCCGGGCATCTGCACTCCTGAGTTTGAGTCAGGGTGGGGGCCTCCTCTAGGTGGGGGCATCTGTCTTGGCGTGCGAGAGGCTGTCAGTGCCTGGGCCCCTGCAGGCCGCTGCGCATCCTCAGACACCCGCAGGGAAGGACGCGGCCCATGGGACGCGGAAAGGAAAGCCACAGTGACACTCAGCATCACCCCGCATCCTGCTGGTGCTGGCCCCACACTGAGGGTCTTCCTGGGTCCTGGCTGGCCGCAGCCCCCATGGAAATCAAATCCCACAAAACGTTAACAGAGCTTATCTGAGTGGTGAGGTCACAGCAAGTTTTAGTTTTACATTCCAGGTTTTCTAACTTTATGTCGAAAACTATTAATTTTATATTTATCTCCGTTCCCAACCTGGGCCTCCCGGTGCTCGGGGCTGCTGGGTGGTGTTGGACTCAGTTTACCTGAGAGACCCGGGTTTGCCGCACGTGCAGGATGGCAGCTTTTCCAGGAGGGTTAAGATGTGGTGCAGTTAGTGTGGTCTGGTGTGGTGGAGCAGGCACCACCCTGCACGCACCCGGGCATGGGCGCCAGCGTGGAATCGAGGGCAGGCTCCCAGGTTTGCCTTGTGGGGCACGCCTTTCATGAATGGGGCAGTGTGGCTCAGCGGCGCCAATGGCAGGGGGCAGTCCCCGTGTCTGGACAGCGCGGGAAGGGCTGGGGCAGCCGGTGGGGAAGCTGTGTCCCGAGCTGAAGACGTGGGGCATCGGCTTCCTGCCGCCGACACCGCACAGCCTCACCCTCTCGCTGGGAGGTTGGAGGAGAGGCCAGGTCACTTCCTCTCCGCACAGGTCCCACGGTGCCCAGCCGGGCCAGGGCTTGATGGCCTCAGAAAGTCTTTGATTCTGATGTTTCCAGCAAGTTTGGACACCTGGTTCTTCTTAACCTGCCAGTGAGTGAGCTTCCCATCCTGCGCCCCGAGCCGGGCGATGGCACTGGGTGGCCATCCTGTGCAGGGGCACCCTGCGTGCTTCCTGTTGCCCTGCCGGGAGGTGCCCACCTCTGCCACAGCTGCAGTGACTCTCAGGGAGCCACCGGCTTACAAGAGTGCTGCAGCTTTCACAGGGAAATACACTTCCTGACTTTTCTACCAAGGATTGGGATTTTTGTGATCCCCTTCAGGCTGTACATTGTAGAGGAAATTCTAAAAACTTGTCTGAAGTCATTTCCACTGTATAATTAGAAACAAGTCAAGCTATAAAAGTTGGATCTTAAACTGTGCCTCTTGACTTAGAGATTACGGCTGCCATAAAAAGTTGCCTTTGGGAAGGACATGAACCAGGAGCTTTCACCTCAAAGGGTGATGATGGCCTGAGCATTTGCTTATGATGTTTAATGTTGACCTTCGTGGCTTTTTAGAATGCAGTGGGTTTATTTTTGTTTGGGGATTGGCACTTTAAGTTATAAAACTCTTAGCTTCTACCCTTCTCCTGGGTGACTGTTAAGGTTGGGATTTTCCACTCTGGGGGATTTTACTATTCACACCAGGGGAAGTCAGGCACAAAATAAGAGGGAAGGAGGTGGTGCGGAGGAGACAGTGGCTGCCGCCTTGACAGAGCTCTCTGCCCTCCTGTTGTGGGGCAGGGAGGGGAGTTGGGCCCCTTCTAGGCTGAGCCCTGGTCACAGCCTGGGACGTGGGACCCTCACACTGACCAGGAAGGGTGCGGAAGCCCCGGCTCTGTTGCTGAGGCCCAGCTAGAGCTCCCTGGGGGTGCCTGCATTTCCCAGGACCCCTGCAGTCAGCGACTGAGGAAGAGTGCCGGGGAGTGGAGGCCCTCAGGCGCGGAGTCCATCCAGGCCTGGCATGGGGCTGTGTCCACCTCCACGCGTGGGGGCCGGAGCGCTGACAGGGCACAGACGTGTGTGTTCTTGTTGCTGTGTAGAGAAGTGGGGAGTAGAACAGTCCCAAAAACAAAGCAGCGAGGAGAGAAAGTGGCACAGCCTCACTCTGACAGCCTGGGGATTTTCCTTTCAGGATGACACCGCTCCCTGCTCCCTCCACTCATCACCCACAGCGGCATCAGAGTCCTCTTGTTCCTTTGCATCTGCCGTGCTCCACTGTGGGGCCTGAACACACACCTGTGTCCATCCTGGAGCCCCTCCTGGGGTCAGTCCTGGCTCTGAAGCCCCCCCCGGGCTGAACGGGCACATCCGCTTCACCCCACCCTGGGTGGGCCAGAACAGAGGCCCCACAGCGCCATGAGGTGTCCTGGGATCCTGAACTCTGGAATCCCACGCTTGCTAGTAGGTCAAAAGTTCTATGGTCCTTGAGATTATGAGTGAGTGTGTAAACCTAGGCCTGAAGTTACACGTTATTCAGCCGAATCGTGCTGATTTTCAGCTTTCGCTGAAGATTTACCTTTTCCTTGATGATCGTTTAACGGATTGGATGTTTATCTCATTCCTTCACCTATTCCTAGAGTGAAACCCTAATCCCGGTGTGGCTGTATTTGTAGGTGGGGCCTCTTAGGAAGAAATTAAGGTTAAACAACGTCATAAGTGGGGGCGGCCCTGAACTGATAGGACCGGTGTCCTTAAAAAGGAGACACAGAAGAACCCTCTGCCCGCCTCTGTGCTGAACACCCCCCAGAGAAAGGCTGTGAGAGCACACGGGGAAGGCGGCTGTCTGCAGGCCGGAAACAGCCCTCACCAGAGCCAAACTAGCTGCACCCTGATGACAGGCTTTTAGCTCCAGAACTGTAGGAAAACCAATTCCTGTTGTTTAGGCCCCCAGGCAGTGGCGTTTTATTATAAGCAGCCCAAGCAGAGAAGTGGGGTGCCCCGCGTTACATACCACATACCTAAGAATGTGGAAGTGACTTGCAGCTGGCTGATGGGTGGAGGCTGGCGGAGTTTTGAGGTGGGTGCTAGAAAGAGCCCCAATGGCCGTGGAGCAGTGGTTGGTAGAACTATGGGTGTTAAAGGCGTTGTTGGTGAGGGCTCAGAGAGCAGAGCATTGTAGGGAGAGCTGTGGTCATAGAGAACACACGTACCCCACGAACAGAACACTGGTAGAAACGTGAGCATTAAAGCCGATTCTGGTGAGGAACGTGCCTGTGGAATGCGAGGAAAGTGATTCTCGTTATAAAGTGGCACGTACTTGGCTGGACTGAGTTCTAGCATTTTGTGGGAAGTGGAACTTGCGAGTGATGAAATGGATGTTTTGCTGGTGAGATTTCTAAGCAAAGTGTTGAAATCCTTGCTTCTCCTTACTGCTTACGGTGAAACGTCAGAGGAGAGACATACATTGAAGGAACTGCCAAAAGAAAAGGAACCAGAGCTTGAAGATTTGGAAAATTATCAGCCTATCCACATTGCAAAAAATGAGAAAGTGGGCCGGGCACAGTGGCTCACGCCTGTAATACCGGCACTTTGGGAGGCCGAGGCGGGTGGATCACAAGGTCAGGAGTTCAAGACAAGTCTGGCCAAGATGGTGAAACCCCGTCTGTACTAAAAATATAAAAATTAGCCGGGCATGGTGGCGGGCACCTGTAATCACAGCTACTTGGAAGGTTGAGGCAGAGAATTGCTTGAATCCGGTGGGCAGAGGTTGCAGTGAGCCAAGATCTTGCCACTGCACTCCAGCCTGGACGACAGAGCGAGACTCTGTCTCAAAAAAAAAAAGAGAAAGGTCTGGACAGACTTGCATGCGGTGGAACCATTTAATGGGGAGACTGGGTGTGAGCCAGGAGCCCAACCAGGAAGCCGCCTCAGCAGAGGCCAGGAGTGGGGATGGGAGTGGGGATGGGACCAGGCCCGCAGAGGCACTGTCAGCTTGGCCTACGGAGAACAGGAGGTAGCGCTCTCCAGCGCCTGGCATGCTTCATCTTTCCAGAAAGGGGAGAGTGTGCCTGGGGGTGATTCAGAGGTAACTGGGTACCTCTTCCACCGCAGGCACAGGGCAGGGCTGTCTCCTCCTGGGTTTCGGCGGGTGGGGCCGCTGAGAGCTGGGAAAGAGGCTGGGCCTCTGGGCAGAGCGTGAAGCCGAAGAGGATTGTCCCCAGGCCTCCAGGTCTCCGGGGCTTTGTCTTGCTAGATGTGTGACTTGCTTGGGACCCGTCTCCCCTCTCTTCCTTCTGTGACCTGCCTTTTGCAATGGGGAGTTCCATCCCATGCCTGTTCACCGCTGTATTTTAGAAGATCATGGCTT